GCATGGCAATGACTGCCTTTTCAAAGTTGTTGAAATATTTAAATCAAATATTTTCCGTAACAAATCTGGGGGGGACAAAACCTTAAGTAATTTTAAAGATTATTCATTTATAATAGCCTACACAAAGAGCAAACATTGAGATGTCAATGAAAGCATTCTTAGCAAGTTGCCATTTTGTTGAAATTAGGGATTTCTGAATATACCAAGAAACATAGTAGCTGTTTACAAGAACCTGACACTAGATAAGGTCATCTATATAGTATCTTCTTGACATAAAATGATGAAAAGACTCACAAGAGACACAGACCTTCAAATGGGTCAAATTAATCATTGGCTCAGTATGAGCATAGATTTCATCTTAGTCATCTTAGCTGGATTAGATGAAGCCCAGACAGCACATCTCAGGATCCAAATCCCACATGGAAAAGACTTTCAATTGGGAGTGTTACAATCCTGATAATGTTGCTTATCTGGTATATAGCGGGTCACTTTGGAATAGGGAACATCCAGTGCTGACTGAGTAAAAAGTCAAATAATAAAACTATAATATTTTACAGCAGCAAAAACGATCAAAACTGCACCCAGACACTAAAATCAGCGACTACTCCAGCCCTGTTCAGGCTGAATATTTGGATTAAGTGGCTGTTCCCCATTCAAAAGTGTTAGCCAGGAAGGAAATAAATGCAAGCTAAAAGAGTAATTTATTTATGGGTATGTGAATAAATAAATTACAACCAATGGGGGAACTGGCATCAGCAGGGCAGATGGGACAGCACTCTCCAGATGGGATGATAGGGTTGGCACACTCTTTGATCTCCTCGCAGATTATCTCATCACACAGAACCGCTCCGCTGTCGCACACACAGATACGACACGGCTCTGGCTTCCATACATCCTTATCATTATACTGCTGGCCGTCCTGGATGCAGCCACCTGCCTCCTCTGTGGTGACCAGCAGGGGGTGCATGGAGGGAGGAACAGGAGCAATAAAAGGGCAGAAAGGTTAGTACAAGAGAGAATGAGACAGGTAAAGGTAATGGAATTTAAACAGTGTTGTGAGTTGGTATAGCAGATGTTATAAAAAGAAAAGTTGGGTTAAAAGAAGGAAGTAAGGATAAGAGGATGTAAGGGGTCAAAGGGCAAGGCAAGGAAGTGGGAGGAGTAATGATGGAGGAGGAATGGTTAGCGAGTATTGGGGAGGGGCATAGAAGGAAGAAGCAGAAAGAAGTTATTTTGCATTAAATAAAAACTCCTTATGAAGTTGTGCAGCTGTGTATGAGAAAAGTGTATACATTTTTAAAAACAGCAAAAAAAACATGAATAAAACCTTGAGTGTGATTTTAACAAATATGGAGTTAGAGGACTGATGAACAGGTACTGGTTTGACCCAAAAAATGCACTGATACAAACCAGTAGCTGTGGAGCACAACTCTACTGTACAAGTTCTAAATCATGAAGCAGGTAAGAAAATGCCCCAAGTTATCATTAGGGGAATTTTATGGCAGCATAAAATGTAATGTCAACACGAGCCACAGTTAACGGTTGTGTTTGAAGCCCTAGTTGAGGTATTTCACGTCGTTGGCTGAGTATATTTAACCTGCGGGCCTGCTCTGCTGCTCGTATGAATGAACCTCTCTTATAGGGATACTGTGCCCAATTGACAAGCTGCTGCCCTAAGTAAACAGAGGCTCCTTCTAAATTTCTCCATCTGGGTCCCATAGCTGTGTTAAGCGCCAGTGTAAACACATTGGGGAATTGAGAATGGGCGATTTGTTTAATGTATACAGTTTAGGACTGAGCCTACTAACTGCTGTTATTTGTGAAAGTGATACTTAGCACATACATGTTACAAGACTGTTTGACTCATGATCAGAAATTAGTTTTGACTATTTGCAGATAAAATCTACTAAATCGCAGTGGTAAATTTTGAATAAATAGAAGAGGGGCAAGAAGTGGAAGCAATAAAACAGTCCATCTTGCTATAAATACAACTATACATCCATCATCTGTTGACTCCCTGCTGTGAACGCTGTTCTCTGTCCTACTCCCCTCCTGCTACCCTTTGAGCCTGCTAGTCTGAGGTCAAGCACTGTCTGACCCTGTCACTTCACATCATGAAAACCCTGACTCTGCTCCAGCCAAACCCTGCGGCTGAGACTTATTTTACAAGTCTTAAAAAAAACAAACAATTAAACTCACATTTCATTTACTCATAGTGGCCAAGTGTTTCTGCAAGATACTGGCAGAAAAGAAGGCATTTATGAAGCTTTTTCCCCCCCTAAAAACTCGCACTATGATGTGACCAAACACAGCAGGAAAGGCTGAGCAGGAGGATCCAGGTGAGGACAAACAGACACTTGTTCACCTGGTCCTCCATCCCACACAGATGCACCTTGACAGCCTCATCTATCCAACAGAAAGAAATGCTTCCTTGGCAAGACCTTTGACAGCCTGTTTGACAGGAATAACTCACAGCGTCAGAAATCATTAACAACTACTACTTTGTAAATGGCATGTAAAATAATTTGTCATCACAATAAAAAACTGCATCCAGCTCTTTTTTTTTTGGACACTAAACCACTGGCATCTGAATTACTCTCTACTAATCTCCTGAAACTACAGGAAGACAGTTTTGAAATGACAACAGAAAAGTTCAGAGATCAGAGTTACAAACAAACTTTTTTTTTTTTTGCAAGTAAAAAGGAAAAAAAAAATGCAACTTACGGTCATCCTCTTCTTGACATCTGACCAGGGATAGTAAAACAACTTGGGATGCTACAAGTAGCAGAACAGTCCTTGAGTCCACAAAGCTGAACATGTCTAAATATTAGACATGCAGTAGCTTGGGTGAGAAGTGAAGGGATGGAGGAGACCCGGCTTTCAGTCAGTGGTGTGTTAAGTGTGTGATCCCAGAGACTTATGGCACCATGCAGTCAAACCCTCCAAAATCTAAGTGGAATCCAACGCGGGGCCCCAGCTGGCACTCTGCACCCACCGCGTCAGGGCAAGCACCGCGGTTTTATGTCCACTGTGCCTTGTATGGATCTTCGTATATTCCAAAATACCAGTCCTTCCCCCAGACCCCCTGTCAGGCTGAAACCCGAACCTCATCTCCCTCCCCTCAATCCAGCAGCATCGACTCTCCCAGGGATTTTTTTAACCCAAGTCCTCCTTCCTCCCTTGACCTGCTTGGCCTGGCCGGGCCAAGAGATGCACCTTCACTTTCACATTAAAAAGACAGCTACAAGCAGCAGAGCACAGGTCAAGCTCTCACTCAACTACATGTCACTGTGTGAGTGAATTAGGAAATCCCAGAGCTGAATTACAGTGTCATTCTGTGTGTTACAATGACCCCTATCTAATTTAATATAACAGCTCTCAGGTGGACGAGGCTTTAAAAAATGAAGCACAAAATACTAAGATGTAAGACGAATGCATTAGATTGTACATATACATGATAAAATTATGTTCTGTGAACTGATCTGATGCCAGCTACTGTCTTCAGAGTTTTCTACAGAGCTGGGCTAACATATATAAACAAAGTATGAATAAGTAAAACTATCTGACAGACCTAAAGCTAAGAAAGAAAATGTTATTACAACTTAATATTTTTCTCTAAAATAGGGTGACTTATATTTCTATTTAACTACACGTGTTTGAACCAGCAGATGAATCATTTCTTTCCTCTAACCAAAGCTATCAAGCTTTACCTGACTGTTAAATGCATGTGGAAAATATTCTGTGCATATTTTACATTTGGATCCTTGTGAGTAGACAAAACAAAGGTTAATGTTTCTACATTAATGAAGTGCTAAATTCTCAGGCCATGGGAACTCAACATTGGGTCAGCGAGGTTGTTTGTTTCAGTCTAGTCTCTTGGATTATGGATTAATCTGTAGACTTTAGACAACCTTTAAGTGTTGAGCCGACCAATCAGCAGCTATGTCACGTTCCCATTACAGTCAAACTTTCTGAGAGGCTTGTCTGTTCGGACAAAGACAATTAACAAGAGGTTGTGAGATCCAGTTAAAAGAACAACTCCACTGTGGCCTGTATAAAAGACAGAACTAAGTGTTCTACAATCAGCAATTAAATGTTAAGTTCATGCCTCCATATCATTTGTCTGTGTGTAGTTTAATTGTCCAGTATGTCTTTAACTGGGTTATTTACCTTTATAGCAACATTCCTGACAAACAGCACATATATGCCAGAATTATCTATTGTGAAGCTGAGCCAGAAGGGTGATGAAACGTCTGTGTGATCTTTATCATGTACCTCTCCGGTAGATAGGCCCAGGTGAGTGGGCTTGAAAGGGGGTCTTTGTCATGAGGAGAGGCACAGTAATTCCAGGGTCATGACCCTCCAGAGAGCTCCCCTCATTCCACATACAGGAAAGAAAGATTTGAAACCGACATCTTGCCTCTACCAGGTCTATGAGTGGGTTGGTATACTGGAATTACATTCAAAGCACAAGTTCTGAAAGCTAATCCAACATCAGCTTCAATTGCTTTGCTGAAAGCCATTAACATCTCTTCTTTTGTGCTTGAATTTATCCTCCTCTAATGTGACTATACAGTCTGTTTGTTATAGTTTGGTGAGTGCAGATGCTCCTGGTTTAAGAGGATTCTCAAGTTTTAGTGATTTCAAGTTTAACAAGACACAACCAGCGATTATGCTGATGAGTCCAGCAACAAAAACATTTCAGGAATTTAAACAGCCAGATTCCCAGCTGAATCAATAATCAGCATCTTTAAACACACGCACAAGTCCACAGTGCCATTCTGAACTAATACTCTGTCTGCTTTGCTATGTCAGGTCAAGTCATTGTTGGTGTGTCATGTAAAGAAAGATGAAGGTGCAGCTCAATTAGAAGGGGCTTTAACTGGGAGAATGACTGACAGCCTGTTATATCACAGCTGTTAACACTCGTACATCAATTTGGAAACAGTCTTCAGTCCTGTGAAACGACGACAAAACTGACTCATCTTGAAATACAAGTGTGATGATGAAAAGGTGAGACTACAAAGATCAACTGATTATGCCATGCCAGATGAAGCGACACCGATAATGTAGAGATGCCAAAGAAATGACTGCCACCGTTTATAGCACCCGAGAAGTGCTGAGAATGTATAACCACCAAACACGAGCACATCGGAGAGCTGTGGAGCAATCATTTGGCATTCATCAGTACAGTAGTGCTGCAGCACTCTTTAAAACGATGTTACAGTGATGTATCTGAATGCCAGTGCAACTTCAGCTACAGATCAGTATCAATGTACAGCAGGAATACTGTGTCCAGCTCAGCTCTACACATCCTCTTTCTCTGCTGCTCTGACTGTATACAGCCTTCTGCCGTCTCCCGGCACACACAATAGGCCTCTGTGTGCACGGCCCGCGGAATGCTGCGAGATGGCAGGGCAGTGGGATAGCTGCATGGTGAGGATGGGGGTTGGTGGGTGAGGAAGGGTGTGGAAGCTCGGGAGGATGAAAAAGGGGGGTGCGGGGGAGGAGGGCTGGTTTGAGTGGTAGGGGAAGGGGAAGAGATGGCAGTGACGGAAGGAGGGTGGTGATGAGGGGGCAGATCCTTCACGACTGTACGGGTGCAGCCGAGGCTCCAGGGGTCTAGAGGGTGTCTAGGTTTCGGCACAGTGACCGTAGCAGAGGGGTGGCTGTGGCCCGCTGTGTGCACACAAAGTGGTGATGGGAGGGCAGTAAGCACCCACCTGGGGGAGAGGAGAGTACGAACAGGCCAGTGAGATGAATGACTGTTTCACAATGTGTCCCATCTCTCATAAAAATTGACTGATGTAGATGTTGCAGTTGCAATTAATCAAAAGGGAGGGACAGATACAACTCTAGAGGCTACAAGACAGTCAAAGTGCATTGTTCCTGTGACAAATTCCCCATAAAAAAAGAAGAGAAAAAGGTGACTGAGAAATGAAGACAAATTCTGATAGAAAAAAAATGCAACAAATATTGAAACAGTGCATCTATTTATAATGAAACAAGACTTAGTAGTCATGCTGGTAGCCCCATGAGTCTGTATTGCTCAATACACATTTTAAAACAAAATTGCTTGTTCAATGAAAAAATTTTTAAAAAATTAAAAAAATCTATTCGAGAATAAATATAGTTTTGCATGAGGTTTGAGTGGTCATGTTATTGGCTACACCACAGGGCTTATTCACTGTAAAGAGACCTTTTTTGGTACATCTCACAGTCAAATTGTCAGCCTTAGACCTGGCTTTACTTTCGTCAGTTTCTGTGTGGCTGATCATTAAAATTCTCATGTGCCAATTTTTGGATGTTGAGGCATGGGCATTGGGGTTTGCAGATGTACTCAATAAAGGAGCTACTGTAGGCATACACATGACGTACAATTAACATACTAAAGTTAAGCATCAGGCTATTAGCACTAAAGCTACAGTGCATGAGAGAGTGACAGGCAGGGCTGTAGCCTGCAAAAACTCCACCAGCTGCTGTGGGGTAGTGGAGAAAAGTGGAGTCAGGAATTCAATCAGTAGTTTAAGAGGTAGGACTTATTTTTTGGAGACCATGAATATCCTCAGAGGCTGTGCCACATTTCACACAGAGAGCAACAGCATGTCATATTACTTCTTAAATGTACAGATAACTATGTTGCTATATGGAATGAAGATAAATATCAAACCAAAGACAAACAATGAATTAACTTCACCAATTTTTAAAAATACGTCATATTGTTATATATGTCGTCATGGAGGGCTGCAATGTGATTCCGTGGTTAGCACCATTGCCTCGCAGCAAGAAGGTTGCTGGTTTGTGTCCCGGTGGGGACACCCGGGATCTTTCTGTGTGGAGTTTGCATGTTCCCCCCCCTAACAGCATGGGTTCTTTCCAGGTTCTCCAGAGGTGTGAATGTGAGCATGCTTGGTTGTCTGTCTCTAAGTGTAGCCCTGTGATAGACTGGCGACCTGTCCAGGGTGTCTCCTGCCTTCACCCTAAGTCAGCTGGGATAGGCTCCAGCCCCCCTGCCACCCTAGTGTATAGATAATGGGTGTATAGATAATGGATGGATGGATGGATGGATGGATGGATGGATGTTATCATGGCTGCAGATTTACGTTCACTCACATGTCCATGGTGTATGTTAAAAGAGCATTTTGGTCATTGTACCATTCTCCTGCCCTGCTCTGCAGTAATCTTTCTTAGTGTAACAATGGTGTCCATGGTAGAGGATAAAATATATTCTTGCTCTGTGTGAAAATGTTAAGTGAAGCTAATAAAAGGCTGATGTAGTTAAATGTTCCTTCTTTGTACTTCTGTTCCTAGTCTGCAGCTCAGTCAGGAAACACACTCCAGAGAAACACAAAAAGAAAATTTCCTACTAAAAGGCCAGTAAATTTGGAATATAATCACTTGATTTGGTTAAATTTGATCAAGCCTCTTCTGAACATAAGCTTGCATTTTTTAGCACTGATCAAAGGCTGTTGGTTTTGTCCCACGTGTCACTTTAGAAAGGGATCACTTCAGGACCAGTAGACAGAAGGAATGATTCCAGTGACAAATACTGTGTCAGCTACATGGACACAGAATGACATTAAGACTTTTAGGTTGGGTTGTACTAACAAAGATTAGTCTAATCTGAGATTAGCTCCAGTAAGAGTTTTGCAAAAATAGGTTTAAAATGAGTAAATAAAGATTTAGTGTTAAGCAGAGCTCCACTGCATAATCTATGTTTACTGAATCCACATTCATTGAAGTAAACTGAAAATAAATACTGTAGTTGAATCTATATGGAAACACCTGCTTATCAACATTAAAATAAACTGATTAATGATTTTAAAATGAATTTGCATGTTTTTGGCGCCTAGTCAGTGTACAAGACGAGGAAAGCTGTGAGGGCCGAACGAGTCCCCATCCAGCCTCTGTAAACATTAAGTGGCATGAAATCTTCATCAGTAGCATAATTAAACTCAGTTGGGTTAGCATGTCCATTAACTTTCTTTGAGGACACTGATTATTTTACTTAATCCATTTCAAAAAGGCAGCCATTTGAAAAAGTAAACCTCTTCAAGTGTAAATTTAAAGTTAATACTGGATCACATTTTAAATTGGGGCGTTAAAGAGATGTTTGAATGGAATCTTTCTTAATTTGAAACTACTTAAAAAGTTTGGTGCAACATGAATTAAACCATGAACACTCTGGGTTTCTAAATGAATCCTTTTTTTGTGCAAACCCAGCAAAAGACTTCCAAAATCTGAACCTTTCATTTCACAGGGCTTCGCAAACAGTTCTTTGTTTTTTCTCATGCGGTGAAACATTTTTTAAAAATATACACCATAAACAGGCTATTTCATCCCAGGATGCCATGGCAGCCACTTTGGGAACTACTATTCTGTCTGTCGATAGATGCAGAGGTACATAGATAGATATGGTTATGCTCTGTTGTAATGAATACCAATCAGTGTAATAAGTGAAATGGATGGGAGCACCCCTTTGTGTGCATAACTGTGTGAGTAAGACTCAGTTTCGAGAAAAGATGAAATTCCTTCCACCCTGGGTGGCACAGGGATAATAGCCCTTATCCTTTCATTTAAGAGATGCAATAAACGATGCATTAAATCTCTACAAGCATTCAGTAGTCTCTAATAAGGAGCTTTGTTTCATTGCATGAACTGTTCCTATTTCACGCTTCTACTTAACATCAAAATATTACCATGTAGTCAGTGCAGCAGGCTTTGGGCTTAATTGAAACTGCAAATTGATTAAATTAAGATGTTTTATGTACTTTGTCTCTGAGGTAATTTTCAAACATTAGTGGTGTGTGGTAGCTTGAGAAGAATTATGCTTCAAGGCCTAGATGGGCTTTGGGTGATTTGGAAAAATAAGCATGTATCAGTCCTATAAAAATGGCAGTGTAATTGGTGTAATGTGGCCAGGACAGGCTGATAATGAAGATAAGTAATGCTTTTGAGTGTTTTAAACTGCTTCAGAACTAATAGACAGCTCTTACCTTGTTCATGACCACACATTTTCTTGTATAAACTATCTGTTCTAAATTTACTTTGAATAAATAGTCATAGCCTGCTCCTTTGGCCAGTTTTTCGATGCCTGCTTCCAACTTACATATGTTTTATGGTTCCAGCGTAGAATTTTTATCTGAATAATCCAAACAACTGCTCCAATCACATTTCAGCAGCTATTACTCCTTTTACTTCCTAAAATCCCTAAAACTGGCTGTCCAAAGTGGCCTCTAAGCCAGGGCTTTATCCAAACCTCCAGATTACTGAGCCTGAATCAAAGCACCAGACCCGGTATGTTTCTTTTCCTGTGTGAGGTGGAGGGGGGAAGAGGTTAAGTTTGTGCAGGCTTCGTGAGTGCAGTGAGGGGGGCTTTCTCACACAAGATGGAGGATGAAGGGACAAAGGTGGCATTCATTGGCCCAGGAATGGAAAACATTTTCTCCTGAAAACAGAGAAGCTACAACCGGCAGAGGTAGCGCAGAGAGGCCATGGGTTAGCATGCACCCCTTTGGAGAAGTCACATGCCGAGGGTTGCAGAAGAGACAACCAGGAGCTAGTGAGGCCTCGTTTATTTGGTAATGGAGATAATATCATGTCACCTTCTACAGTCTGCTTGGAAAGTGATACTGCACAGTCTGCAAGAATGAGGAAGGCTGCATGTCTAGATTGAACATGGGTGTGGTGGGTAATCACCACAGTCCTTCCCCTCCTGAATGATTTAAACTAACTTCATAAGAACTCACTGAGACACAAAACAGATAAAAACTGATATGGGTCAACGGCAGAGATTCAAATTTCTAACAGATTTTCTAGAATTAGTAAGACTAAGACTTTGCCCTACTAAAGTGTAGAAGGTATTGTTAGGCTCCTCAACGAGCATCTCACAAAACAGCTGACATCAAAGACAGGAAGCCGGGCCTCAAATTTTAAAAAAAAAAAAAAAGAGAGAGAAACAACAACATACAATAAAGTGTTTGAAGCCCCAGAAAACGTGCCAAGAGACTCTCTTGAGAGGAAGGATCTCAGACACAAGACTGTGATGTGTCCTCAACAAAACAACAGAGTTGGAGAACAGAGACTGACCTGAGTAGAGCGTCCTGGAGTGAGTACGCCACCTAGAGGACAACACAGTAAAATTTCAGTGCATCAGTGTGAGAAACTCACCATGGGGTGTCACCATCTCACAGCAGAAGACACGATTCTCTCATGACAACTTGAGAACTCAGTGATATTCATTATTTACAAGACAAGAACATGCATTTGATCTTTCACACCAGTCCATGTTTGAATGTAATTTTAACGACAGATTAAGTCCAACTACTGACAGATTTAAAATCATTCCTGTTGTCATGCTGACAGCTGACTTAGCAAAATGGCTATCACAATGGGGCACAGGTAGTTGAGATACAGGTCATGAAATAAATATTCTTTCTCAGAGAATTACAGAATACAGTAAAAAAAAACAAAAAAACAAACAAACAAAACTCTTATTATTATTGTTGTTGTTGTTGTGGTTGTTCTGATTAATGTTATTATCATCACTGTCATTATCATTAATACCAGTATTAATAAAAAAAACAGCAGAATAATAATAAAAATGTCATTTTTGTGGGTCTGCCAGAGAAAAAAGTAGTAATGTCCATTATTTAAACAGTATAAAAAGTTTCAGAAAAAAATAAATTACATTAATATTAATTATTACATTATTGATTAAATATAGGTAACACATATGAAAGTGAACAAAGTTACCTGTCACAATTGTAATTCTGGGCTTTCAGTTATTTAATTTCTGCAGTAACGGTTACATAAAACATTGTCCTGGCATACGTCCACTGGTTCAAGGCCAGTTTAAGTTAAATGGTTCAGCTCTGACAGTAAAAGATAAGGTTTGTTTATTAACTTTTCATAGGTTTATTTATTTAATCTGAGATAACGCTCAAATTTGGCCTTCTGTGTTGCCATGTTCATTTTTCCTTTCTAGTTGGAATGCATTGCTAGTTCTGAATCACATTTTTTGGAAGATCATTGAATGAGAAAAAGCTAAGTAGGACCATGGCTGAAGTATGAAAGTGATTACTCCCCTTTTTTTCTTAATCAGTCCAAATAGCAGCGGTAGTCATACCTGGTAAGCTAAACCAAACACCAACTTCATGTCAGTAGCTGCTGGTTATTGAACCCACCTGCTGCCTGTGTCACAGCACCGCCCCCAAGCAACAGCCTGTACTTGATCTAGTCTGAAGACAGCAGCTGCTATTAAAGCTCCGAGGACCAAGGGGCTCTGGTCACAAGTATCTCTCAGGACCAGCTACCGGGGAAAAAATAAACTCCTCTGAATAATTAAAGATTGAGCCCTACTTATCACAATGCATTGCCTGAAAAGTCTGAGGACAGCTAACCCGGGAATCCTGCAGCTATTTAAAAATGCAGGGATCTCCGCCAGACTGGGAGCTGACAGCATTGTTTTGTCCAGGACTCAGCAACCTGTTTCTCTCCCCTGCTGGGCTGCAGCATCACCCCACACCCACAGAGCCTTTCATCAGCAGCAGAACCCTGATGAGGACCAAGGACACTCCAAGTAGGTCACAGCAGGCTACCACCAGTTTTAATCCAACATATTATCCAATATTTTCATTCATAGTTGTCCAACAGTACTCCCAGAATATACAGAGAGCTAAAGCTGTCTGCTTTGGCTAGCTTTAGCTTCCTAACTGTCTTGTTGCCATAATTCAAGCTACTACTAACAGCTAACCAGTTATGAAGTAAAATGTCTACTTCTAAAGCAGTATTTAGAGTTAAACTTACAGGACAAGTTTTGTGAAGTACACTGAGATGATTGACATGAATTAATAAACAATAAAAACTCCAGTTAGAAGACAGTTGAAGCTAGCTTACCATAGCTTAGTATAACTACTGGAACACGTGGGAAAGTAGCCTGGTCCTGTCTATCATTTAAATAGCAGTAGTGATAATAATATTATCAATTTGTAACAATAATAAATAAAAACATGTTGTGTGGTCGTTTTTATGGGGTCTAGTAGAGTTTCCTGGGCGACAATTTCTTGGTTGGTGTAGTCATTTCCAACTGGTTGCCTGGCAACCTCAGATTAATGACACCCATCTATAAAATTAGTGCACCAAGAAACAGTCCAACAACTGCTGCTTATAAAACCACAAATGTTCCTTTTCTAGGCAAGTTTTATTGGTGTTGTTGTTGTTTGTGAAGGTAATAAAGTGTTTAATTAGTAAGTTGTAGTGATGCTAATATGCTGTTTTGTTTGTTTAGCTTTAGGAAAAGAAATGCTAACTGGTTCCCATTTAGCCCAGTGTTTATGCTAAGCTAACTGTTTTCTGTTCTGGGCTAGTAATGTAAAGGACGGGCATTACCACAAAACATTTAAAAAAATATATGGAAACCAGAATAGTCTATCAATATGAAATGAAGCAAAAATCTCACATATTTACTGTTACTAACTTCCCAAAGAGAAGGTTTTGTCCTTTTCTGTGTCACACGACTGTAGCTGTTTATCTTTTTAATATTAATATGAACTGCTATCAGACAAAACAAGGCTGTTAAAGATGCCACCTTAAGAAAATTCTAATGACCATTTTAACTATTTTCTTTCATTTGTTGATAAAATTATAATTAATTAATCAAAAAAAATCTTCAGATTATTTCATAATAAAAATAATTGTTAGTTGCAGCCCTGTTGTCTTTATCTACTTCTTTAAAAGCTGCTAATATACTATAATAAATAATATAATTTAAAAAATATGCAATTACTTATTACGGTGAACGCATTTTCAATAGACCTCATTATTTAATTGCTGCCAAATTACTTTAAGATTTGAGGCCTTAATGAATAAATGTCCTTTCATTATTCTCTGTTAATTGCTTCAATGCATATGAATGTAAACATTTTAGTTTTTAGTAGTTTAGAAGTGTGTTGATGTGAAGTTCTCTGATCTAAAGAGATCATCTCTGCACACGTGCACACACAGAAGAATGTCCATGTGTGATATGATGCCTCCATCCACTTTCAGGCCAATGCACAGGACAAGACTCTTTATTGGTAGTGTCAAAGCTTTGGGCACTTTGGGCAATAATCAGCTCATTCATATTGGCATATAGATTAAGCGAGTTGATAAACAAGCAAATTTCATTTAAAAAAAAACAACAAAAAAATGAAGTGTTTTAAATTATATTGTTGACAGAGCAATTGATTTACATGTAGATGCATACAATTTGAGTTACAAATTACTAAAAGTTGGCAATTGAAAATTACATTCTGCCATTCTACTTTTGTATTTTTCTGCCCCTTTTTGTAAAAAGTTTCACTATCATTAAAATTGACAGTATCGGTAAATCAAATTTAAAATACAAGCTACAGATTTGTTGTTTGCAGGACCTGAACAACTATATCACATGATATACATAAAACTGTGTCTAATTATATTATAGACACATGCAGTTATGGCTTCTCTCATAGACTAAGTGTATTTGAAGATCTAGGCCAATAGCTGCCTGCTCACCATTATTTTCCACTGCTGGCTCTGTTGTTGACATAAACCTTGACACACTTCTAATGGTTTTGACTTGATACATTGGAGCCTGTCCAACTTTAAACATCACAACATATTATGTGTGTTGTTTGCTTTGACAGAAGTAGGTTGATGTCCAGTATGGAGGACCTACTTTTCTACACCATCACTGATGGCAAAGAGATGATCCCCCTCTCCGAGTTCATCTCTGTGAGTAAACAATACATTCACACTTCCTCTGTAAAGTCAAAACAAGGACCAAGGACTTGTTTGACACCAAACCCGTAACAGCTGTGGCTGATATTAACAAGGATCCAAGTACATAAACAAATACATTCTCCTACAGCACAACCACGATTCCCAAAAGCACCCTTGACTTCAGTTGAATTAACCTTGGTGAGCAACAGCCCGCAACAGAAATCCAGAGTGTGTCCTGCTGACTGCAGGGTCCAATTTAAAAGGTGTTTAGGGACTTTCTTATGTAATGGGTCTAAATATAGGAGGTGTGATACGGAGGTAATTACCATCAGAGAGCAACATTCATTTCTCACATTGAGGATTAATTATTTTTGGACTTTAATTCCAATCATACATGACATTTTTGACATTATATTTGCAGATTTGAGGATAATGTCAAAAGTTTAAAGGCATTTAATTAAAGAATCAGAGGCTAAGTGCTTAAGACTTACAGTACAGACCTCTTTGTATGTGGGCCCGAACAGACACATGACTAAAAAGATGTCAAGCTTCTGTAAACATGTGCCACATGTCCTCCACCCCACATGCTCAGAAAATGAACATAGACGCTGATGCGCATACACTATGAGGTTTAAAAAAAAAAAAAAACAACTTTTAACTGTGATAGGACTTTTTAGACAGTCAGACTTTAAAAGGCTGACATCTGGTGACCTCGGTGTCTATGGCAACTCAGTCATTTTGAAACAAAGCAAGCATTTAGGAGAAGAGACGTGTGTCAACACAGGTGGCGTGTTGTTACACCACAGTTGACTGGATGTGTTTGTCGAGATGACCCAGGCAGGAGATTGGTGGTCAGAGTTAGTCAGTATACTTACATGAAATTACTAAAAACAAAACATTTATTCCAACAGACTTATAGTCAACGTTCAAGAATATTTTTTGTTTGAAAAGTAACTAATTCTGACAGCCAGAGTTGGGATAAGGGAAATTTCTCTTTCAATTATGAGACTATCCAGACTGTCAAACTTACTTTTATAAAATATAATTATTTCCCTGCTTAAGATAAAGATATCAGGCATGTTAGGTAAATACTGAAAGTGAGCAGAGATGATCATGTTCACGGAAAACTAATTTTATATTCTCTAAAAAAGCTTAAATTGTAGTTAAATTGATAGATTGTGCTGTAAGTGAAAATTAAAAATGGTTTTGTCTATGAAAGTAGTACTAAAAGCTCTAAATGACAATGTAGAGAGTGTATTTTGTTTGTATTGTTATTCCATTTGTGAAGGCAGAACTTTGCGCACACCTAAATGGGAAAAAAAAAAAACCTACTCACACAGTCAGTAGAACTCTAAAATAAGCTCAGGAACACTATGCGCACAAGCCTAACTTTAACATCCCCTGCCCTGCAGCTGAGAATCACTCACAGGCATTCAATAACAGTAAAAGCAAGTGTGCAGCCATGTGTTTGGTCTGTTTGCTCACTGAATCAGTTATCAGATGAGATGAGTCAAAAAAGCACGGGAGCCTCTCTGGTCAGGACAGTCATGCACATGGAGTCCCCAAAATAGACACACGTGGGTTATACGGTGACTGTCTTAGTGTGACCTACAAGAGGGATTCCAGTGATCTGCTCTATGCCTGTATTTCCTCCTTGGTCCCATGTGGGCACACCTGAGGCTTTAAAAGTCCCATAACAATGTGTTCCATCTACACGTTTGATATTTATTACATAAACAAGACTCCAGGTATCTAAATGATCATTTATGTCACCCTCCTTTCCTCCCTTGTGTATTAATTTGCTCAAACACATTCCCCACTCTCCAGGCTTTAAGAAAAACAGGATTGTTGACATCTGACCCTCGACTCCGTGACTGTGTCCGTCAGATGCGACAATCCACACGTGATTCTCCTGGGCCGGTCATGATGGACAAGAAGCTCTTCAGAAGGTGAGAAAAGCTTTGTTTATTTATGGAGACATAGTTATGCACACAGCTACACAAAGGGCAACATTTAACTTTTCCCTGCACGTGAAAAGTAGGCATTGCATATGTTTCCATAAACAATTCTTTCAGTGCTGCATAACCAGTAAAATATGTTGTTTATTCAAAAGTTGTTTCAAGTAGACGTTCATAAAAGCACAGAAGTATTAAATTGTGCAAAAGTATAAAGTTGGGTTTGCTTCATGCTTTCTTGTTACGTAAAGAAGGTAATCTGTGGTCAGTGCTATTTGAGTCTTAGAGACTGACAGGCACAGGCGTTTTATGGCTGACAGCTGCTCCTAACCAAGTTCACATACATGCATGCCAGCCAAAGGCGTAGCGGTTGCAGGAAGACACAAGGGTCTCTGGAGCTGTTAATGAAAGGTCATAATTCTGGTTGAGCTCCAGACTTTGGCAATTACATTAGTAGGCTCAACAGATCTGTAAGTGCCATAAAGACTACTGACCAAGTAGTATCATTTCCTAACTGATAAGTGTAATTCACTCAGACTCATCCATTGGCCTGGAACAGTGCTGGGTTACACAGTCTAGCTATCTCAGCCAAACCTAATTGGCCATATCCGACTTTCTTTGCTTGTTTTCTTAAATTTGTGAGGTTATCCATTCCTAAAGAACACTCAAGAGCACGCTATAAATACGCCACTAGAAATAGAGAGTGCTATCTTCTATTTTTTTTTTTTTTTTTTTTTAGGAAATGACCCATATGAATAATACAAGCTCTCCCCACTCTCTTTTCCTGGTGTCCTAAAACCTCACGCTAGCATCTCCTTGGATCAGGGAGGACTCTGGGCCAGATATTTTAGTGCAGACCAGCTGTGAGAGAATGCGCATACTTTTCCTTGATAGCATGCGGCACTGCTGAACACTTACAGCAATAAAAATCTATAATATGTGCTGATAAAGGCAGGGTTGTTTACCCCTTTAGCTGGGTGTTCATTGGCCTGAAGCAGGTCCCATTGAATCCAATGTGGTGAAAATATTATAAAAGCACATTAAGGTTGACCATTTTAATGAAATGTAAATTGTCAATCAGAATCATTCTTAGTGATGGCAGGCTTGTACCACAGAACCTGCTGTTCTCAGTAATTCTGAAAATATTAAGCCATACAAGTAGAACCAAAACTCAGTATAAGCTAGTTAATTGAACTGTTAGTTTACTGACAGGGCTGAAATTAGCTATACTAGCCTGGTGAGCTTGCAAACAGTAAAACACTCTAAATACTTTGTCATGTAAAGCAGAAGACTTTACAAATATTAGTAGATTCTTATCAGATTTACTTTTGCCATTCAAGTTTAAACATTATCTTGGACTTGAAGTTGAGATGTGTTTGTTCATCTCACCCATATGACTAAAAACACATCTTTTTTTATTTTAGAGAAGGGAATCTCATTTTGTGTACACCATCACCATTATATTGAATAACAGACCCTTTTCCACTGTGCAGCTATAAATAATAAATTTATTGAAATGCATTTATCTGCTTCAGTTTCAGAGTCCAGACATTGTGCATGCTGCCTTCATGTTATAGTAATGCCTTAGTGGCGCTTCTGCTTGAAATATAACAGAGAAATTGTTAATGTTGTTAGTAACATCCGTGCTTTTCGTGCTGTGATAATTTAAAATGTCCGATATTACAGGCTCGTTATTATCAGAGTTACTCACTGCCCTCAAGTTTTCCTGTCGTCTTGATTTTGAAATGTGGTTGTTTGGCTCTTTCTATGAAAGTGTTGGTCTTTTGGGGATGATTATTTGTCGCAGGATTATTCAGAGTAACCAGGATGATGTCTCGGGAAAGACTTGTTGCTGTTATGTTTTTTAAATACAATGCAAGGCTTTAGGTCTCCTCAGTCAAACCTTTGTCTTCTTTTAGGTGTGTGGGCAACAACATTATGTTACTGACTAAGGCTTTCAGGAAAAAGTTCATCATCCCTGACTTCCAAAAGTTCACCCACCTGATCAATAAGATGTATGACAGTGCACAACAGCAGGAAGGAGGACAAGTAAGTAACCTATTAACACACTGATTTAGTGTTAGCTCGTGCAATTTAACACTGTCTTCCATGTCTTTATGCAGGTAGCTGATTACATTCCTCAGCTGGCCAAGTTCAGCCCTGATCTCTGGGGAGTCTCTGTGTGCACAATTGATGGACAAAGGTGCAGTAATAGCTCTTCTTTATCGCATCTTTTCATCCTTAAACCTCCACCGTGTGTACTGCCATGCTAACCCTCCACCGCTCCACACCTTGTGTTTCTGTTCTTCTCCATTACATGCTCATGTCATGCAGACACTCAGCAGGCGACACCAAGGTTCCCTTCTGTCTGCAGTCGTGTGTGAAGCCTCTGGAATATGCCATCGCCGTGCACGAGCTCGGCAGTGAGCATGTTCACCATTTTGTGGGCAAAGAGCCCAGTGGATTCAAGTTCAACAAACTGTCACTAAATGAGGAAGGCAAGTGATTTGTGTAATCACCTCCAATCATGTTCTCCGCAAAAGAACACACAGTACCGGTAATGCAATACTGAAATACCCAAACACTGTTGCTCCTATTCTACTCAGCGACAGTTGGCAACAGCTGCACACTCTGTGTGAGTAGGTTACTTGAAAGATTAGATTCACACATGGCATTAGAGGAAAAAAGATCTTCAAACATTCATTGTTACAGAATGTGGTGAACTGCAAAAATGTTTTATGGAATATTTCTCACCTCTGAAGATTGCGTACAGATCGTATCTGCCCCTAGCTATTGAGAAACTTGAGCTGTATTGTAACAGTACTGGTTGTCAGCAACAGAGCAAACATAAGATCTAAGCAAATGTTAATCTTGGCCACTTCTAGCTTGATTGCGTATGATTTTGTCATCTCACATGTGTCGCCATTTTCTGTAATATACTAAGCTCTGAAGCAAACTGGATTGTACTGCATGTGCTCTGTTCATTGGTGATGTTGCATCCAAGTCCCACAGATAAAATATACCCTCTAATCGCAGCAGCTTATTGCTCTTGTGGTTAGGGACAAGTCAGTGATAACATGCTCTCATTTTTTTTGTGCAGATAAACCACACAACCCCATGGTGAATGCCGGCGCGATCGTCATCAGTTCTTTAATTAAGGTAAAATCTAAAGGCTTTTTAGAACTGAAGCAATAATATGGTGATAGATGTGTAGTGAAACATCCATCCATCCATTATCTATACACCACTTAATCCTCACTAGGGGTCATGGGGGCTGGAGTCTATCCCAGCTGACTTAGGGCGAAGGCAGGGGACACCCTGGACAGGTCACCAGTCTATCACAGGGCTACACTTAGAGACAGACAACCAAGCACACTCACATTCACGGACAATTTAGAGTCACCAATTAACCTCAACATGTTTTTGGACTGTGTGGGAGGAAGCCGGAGAACCCGGAGAGAACCCACGCTGCACGGGGAGAACATGCAAACTCCACGCAGAAAGATCCCGGGTGTCCTCACCAGGACGTGGACCGACGACCTTCTTGCTGCGATGCAACAGTGCTACCAACTGTGCCACCTTGCAGAACATGTACTGTTTCCATTTTAGACTATACTCAACTAGGGAATGTTCTCACAACATTGGCTATAATTACCTATGAAGATATAGGTTTTAATCCAATGTTAAAAGATCATTTTAAGGATAATTATTATATCAAATAATGATCCAAAAAGGAACAGTTAGGGTCTTTAGAGAACGTCATCCTACTTTTAAAGAACATTCTGGGAAGTTAAAGAACACTTCTCTCTGAAAACATTACTAAAAATTGCTCTCTCTTTTTTTTTTTTTTTTAGAATTAAAGAAATCTAGGTGGTTGCACACAAAAAACATTACAAAGCTGACTGTTATTATATTATTGAGGATATCAGTGCAAAACAAAGAATGGCCTCTCAGAAAGTGGTCGGCCATGGCCAAAAATAGGTTCTCTGTTTTAACCACAGATATTATTTATGTTTTTCCTCTTCAGATATTACAGGGTGGTATAGTTTTTTGCTCTAGCCTCTCCAAGATTCAAATACAGTTCAAAGAGCTACTATTTCTTCAGAAGTCTTCAAATGAAACAATGAAAAAACTCAGAAACCAGACAGGAAAAACGATGTTGTTTATTTGTTCCACCAGTAGAACAAGTTCCACTTACACAGCTCAGTTTATTTTTATTCTTTTGCTTCCTTAGCAGAAGCAGGAAGTTAAGTTAAAAAAAGAAAAAAAAGGCGCAGCGGCCCGTTTCACTAAACTCCAAACTATTTGCAACATGAGATCACATTCTTTTACATCAGGTTTGACACATAACAGTCATCAAAACATTTGTCATGTTACTCATACGTGACCAGAAAAGATCCCCCCTCTACCACTATTTGCAGTTTGTGTGTAAGCTGTGCAAGCAAATCTCTTGTGGCTCTTTTTTTTCTTGAACATTTAAAGTAAAAACGTGTGACAGTGTTTATATTTGTTACACAAATGTATCACTGGGCTGTCTTCAAGTAAGGAGCCAGATTTTGCAGTTTTTTTAAAAGATGAAACTGCTACTGTTGTTTTTCCACCATCGAAAATGCCAGGAAAGAGCATTTTTACATAATCTGGGCTGAAAATCACTGTGCAAACTAACTTTTGAAGCATGACGTCAACAATGGGTATCTCATGTTGAATCACTCATCTATTGGCTGGATACTGTGTTTCCTTAGCTCCTGGACTATGGTCAGCATCATCTGACTGACTCCCATTAACGTTTTCTGTGAGCTTTGCCCTTATTCTAACAAACTTGCGAGAGTGGATATTAGCCAAATATGGTCATGTGGAGTCTTTTTTGAAATGTCACAGCTGACTGTAGAGATGCATGGGGCCTCTTATCAAATGTGGGTCAAGTTCATCAGCAAGAGATTGACTTTGTGTTTGGGCTTGACAGCAGGGGCGTGTGTGTGCTTCTGGCCAATTACAGTCGGTAGAGCAGAAGGTGTGTTAGCCACCCTCACATGTGCGTTGAGGGGGGCAGTGTATTTATGTGTACACCATTTGTATACTGTATTTGCACATGACTCATGTGTATATATAGTCAGGAGCTTTACATTTTGTCCTTAGGAAAAGAAAATGAAAGGCTAAAATTTGCTAAGTGTTGCCTTTTACTTTCTGCAACATTCATGCGCTGCTTAGAATAGCTGCCCACACAGATTTTCAATGTCACAATTTTATTTATCATCCTTAAAAAGTACTTATCATATCAGGGAGCACACCAGAAAGAAACTACCTGGAAAGATGTAAAATCCAATGTTTTATTGGCTATGAGGTTTTAGCCTCAGGTCTTCCCTTCGACTCACATGAACATCTGATGTTATACTTAACCTTTCTAGGTAGTCGTAAAATACGAATGTGACTGCGAATCCTTTTTGGTAACTTTACAACTTGGTAATGATCCTTTCCTGGTCCGTGAAATTCAATCAGAGCTATAGACAGCCCCCAAGCAGTGAGCACATCGCCATGTGGACCGACACACTCAACGACAACATGTACACATCATGTATTGACAGCCCCCCCTCACAATTAGACTGAACTATGCTTCAGTGTCAAAGTACTTAAACACTGCCATCTATAGGGACTTATAGCACCCTGTAAAACTGGCATCAGAAAATGATTTTTGTTCTCTTTCTTTTTACAGCCTAGTTCAAATAAGGCTGAGAGGTTTGACTATGTAAGTAAAAGTTTTCCATTTTCATTCTTTTTATAAAAAAATAAAAAAAAACTTTTTCATTTGAGTCCCTACTTACTAATATCTAACTATGATGTTATTGCAGGTGATGGAGTTCTTGAAAAGCATGACTGGTACAGAGTACGTGGGCTTTAGCAATGCAACGTGAGTATTGTGCTTCAAGGAATGCAAGGCCATCGTTAGCATGAAATGCCACTTTTCATACTTACACTGTTCATGCAGCTTCCAGTCAGAGAGAGAGACCGGCGACAGGAATTATGCAATTGGTTATTACCTCAAAGAGAAAAAGGTGTGTTTTTCATTTAATAACAATCATTTCAAGCACTTGTTCGAGTTTTCCTAATAAATCATCAGTCTGTCCTGACTCTGATATTAATTCTTGCAGTGCTTTCCTGATAATGCAGATATGATTGCAGCCCTGGACTTTTACTTTCAGGTACGACTGTCTTTAAAGTGGTTATAATCATTATTTCTATTCGTCGCTCTATCGGAGCGGCTCCATGTCAGCGTTTACCAGGTTGATTCAGACTGAGATGTCTCAATAACTGTTGGACAATAATAAATAAATGCATACATACATACATACATGCATGCATGCATGCATACTTACATACATACATAACTGTTCAAGTCTACTCAAATGTCAAACTTTTTCCTTCCAGTTGTGCTCCATAGAGATAACCTGTGAGTCAGGAAGTGTCATGGCTGCCACACTGGCCAACGGCGGTATTTGTCCAATCACAGGTGATCGCGTGCTGAGCGCTGAAGCAGTTCGCAACACCCTGAGTCTCATGCATTCATGCGGCATGTACGACTTTTCCGGACAGTTTGCCTTCCATGTGAGTCCCTTTTTTTTCAGTATGCTAATCTGTTTAAAAGCATTTTTGGCCGTACTGCAGGAGCGGTAGAAAGTCATGAGATGTTGGATCCAGACCTCAGATGTCTCATTGTTTCTCCTTATTCAGGTGGGCCTGCCTGCTAAATCTGGTGTTTCAGGTGCTGTACTGCTGGTGGTTCCAAACGTCATGGGTATGATGTGTTGGTCCCCGCCATTAGATCGCCTTGGAAACAGTGTTCGTGGCATTCACTTTTGTCAGGTATGTTGTTGGTCATTTCTAACACACATACAGTGAGGTGTAAGCATCGAGCATCAAGTCCACTTAAATTAAAGAAGTTCAGTATTTTACATTTTTGACGTGCTCTTAAGAAAAAAATATGATAGATGTGATATTATTTAATGTCTCTTATGCATTTTCCAACTTTTTATTCACTAGGAACTTGTCTCTCACTTTAACTTTCACAATTACGACAACCTGAGGCACTTCACTAAGAAACACGACCCAAGAAGACGATCAGATGAGGATCCAGTAAGTTCAGTGTAACAAGTGGAGATATTGAAATACCCTCAGGCTATTAAGAAACATAGTGACTCCCTGTGGTGACTTAAAATATGAAGACTTAGAATAGCACAGGCACAATGATTCTGTAAAACGTTTTAGAACTGTCTGCTCTTATAATATTTCCCTTTTAACCCACTAGAACAAGTCAGTGGTAAACCTGATGTTTGCATCATACAGTGGTGACCTCTCTGCTCTGAGGAGGTAAGTCAAAACACAAACAGTGTCTTTCAGTTTTCATTGTAGATGTGTACAATTTAAAATTACACTTATTTGCTTTCTTGCCCAGAGTGTCATAAGAGGATTGATAGTGCTTTAATGTCTGTATGGTAAATATAAAGCTACACAGTGGCCTGTTAGCTTAGCTTAGCATAAACACTGTCAAGAAGGAAAAAGAGCTACCATTTCTCTCTCAGAAGTTTCTTCTACGTAACATTTAATCCTGTTTGTTTAATGGGTACTTGTGTTTAGGAAGTCACTGCACCTGGACAAGAAATAGTCCAGCATGTAAACCCTTGTACAAACCACAAATTGTTATGCTTTACTAAATACGCAAAGTATAGCAAATATCATAAAGAGATGCTGGTATGCAGAGCCAGCCTAACTGTGTTCTTGGTTTCCAGCCAATGGTTATAAATGTTGTCTTTATGCTATGCTAAGCTAACAGTCTAGTGTTTCAACAGACAGTCATGTGATGGTCCAAATCTTCTCTGCAAGAGAGTAAATAATCAAATTAACTATTTCAACTAAGAGTTCATTCAGTGCCTTTCAAAACATGTTCAATGTCATTTAATAGTTATTCACTTACAATTGTCAGAATAATCGACTCCATGCAGTTTCTGACAGGTCAAGTTACAGTAATTTTTCCATGTATGATGTCGTCTTTGCCCCTCCAGGTTTGCCCTTTCAGCTGTGGACATGGAGCAGACAGACTACGACTCTCGCACAGCGCTGCACATTGCTGCCGCAGAAGGTGTCACTTCATTATCAGTTCATTCATTCCTCAACAATCTCAGCTTTGGCATTAAAGCACTGAATGAAATATCACATTTACATCACAACGTTCCGTTTTCTGTTATGCTTTGACAATGGATTTTCTCACATTTTTTCTTCAGGTCAGCTGGAAGCTGTGGTCTTTCTCACTGAAATATGTAAAGTAAACCCCCACATGAAAGACAGGTAGGGATTTAAACATGAACTCATTCATGTGTTAATAGTTTGGCAGTAGTGGAATAAATCCATCTCCATAATACTAACCATGACAATCCATCCATCTCCATCTCACGCTGTTATCTATCAGATGGGGAAACACACCCCTGGATGACGCCATGCAGTTTGGCCATGATGTCATCGTTTCAATCCTACAAAAGTACCAGCGAGTGTGCACTGACAGCAACTCACCAAGCAACACAGAGGAGCAGAAAGACACAGTGGATACAATGAAGAGCATTGTTTAAACCACAGGGGATCATGAGGGTTTGTAATGCAAATGAGTATTTTATTACGCACCTGAGAGGAATGAAAGGACACAGGGTGATTGAGAGACGTGATGAATGAATGAATTGATCTTATATGGTATGGTCAAAAATGTTCTATATTTGTGTGAGCATCATACTTTAAACTGCTGAAAAACAATGCCTTTCTGTGGACCGAAGGTTTGGTCAATAATGTATTAATGAAGCACTAATATTAACAAGCAGCGTGTTGCTTGTGTAGAGGAAAATTATAATAATGTATACCATGATTTGGTTTGCATTGAATTATGAATGAACTGCATTTGTGCTCAGATAAATGCTACTGATAAGAGCTACTGAGATGTAAATATATAATATATTGTGCTTATTTATTTTTATCATGTTGAAATGTTGTATATTCTGCTTAATTAGTATGTTATTTCATTAGAGAGGGGCTATGCTTCCTGTGGATTAACTATACATATTCCCAAAGCTACGTTATGAATTATTCTCCTTAGACGGGTGGTGATTTAGCTGCATTTGTGTCTTTAACACTGAAAGTACTGTTACATTCATGCTTTTACATGCACATTGGTATTTAATTTTGATCATATTCAGGGTATGGGCTTCATGTGGAACATGAAAAACCTGTTTTTTCAGATTCCTGTACACATGCACCATTGCACATTTATATTCAGTTGTGTCTTGATTTATCATCATCTCAGCTGTTATTTACCAGCAACCGTTACAGTATTAAGGTTTTACCAGGTATTTTTTAGGTTTTTCAAAACCACAGTAACATCTTGTCCCAGTAGACCTGTTAATTGAGGCTCCAGTTTATTCACTGCCGATGCACTATGCAAATGTGGGTTTTAATGCCCCAGCATCATCAACAGCCATGACCAGAGGCATTATGTTTTTGGTTTGTCCATCTGTCCACATGTCTGTCCATCCCATACTTGTGAACTCGATATTTAAGGAATACCTGGAGGGAATTTTATTCAGATTTACCTCAAGGATGAACTGATCACAAGTCAAAATTCACTGTGACCTTACAAAAATGCATTTTTGGCTGTAGTTTAAGAATTCATACAATAATTATGAAAATACTTCACATAAATGTCTTAATAGGAGGACATTTTATATCCAAAAAGTCAAAGATCATCACAATATTCTGCAAAAACACTTTTCTGGCTTTCATTCTGCCCTGTAACTCAGGAACAGAAGGGGAGGATGTGAACATATTTCAAATTGGGCCTGATACTGCATTGGTGACACTCATCTTGGTTGGCTACCTGTGCTGATTGTGTTGATCTTCCAGGCTGCCAGGCTGAAGACATGTGTGCAACAGCTACTTCTTTTAATTTGTTGCTTCTTTGCAGCAACATCTGTATTTGAAGCATTGTCTGCTGTCATCACTTCGACTTTATGTCCTATCAGAATAAGCCTTTTGGGCCAATTATGTGAGCACACAGTAGGACTTTCTCTGTTCTTTGTTTCCCCGAGTGAATAGATACACTACATGTATTATGAGAGCCTGGAAAGACATGGATGGAAACTGCAACTTGACTTGGTTTTATTTTGAAAGACTTCCTCTTCCTCTTTTATTGGTTGTGTGTCAAAAAAAAATAATACATCTGTCACATGCTTGGAACAATACAGATTTGGGTATAAACAAAACTTCAGTTACAAGGTATGCAAAGAAGTGTTACAAACTCAACACAGATGTGTTTAAAGTTACACTTTCTCAAATGAGAAATGCTTGTTAATATGCAGCCTACTAAGATGACTGTATTGTGATATATGTGCAACGTCATTGTGTTAAAAAAATGTAATGTTCTAAAGTTTAGTCATCGTAATTGATGTATTTTTCATTATGCTTTATTTCATTTAACTGGCAGTGAAATTACTTATCTCTTCACAAGGCTTTAGTCACTGTAAACATCATGCAGCTGTAAATGAAAGAATTGTAAAAGCAGTTTCAGTGAAGGTATTTTATTAAACAATATAAAGTATGAACATGAGATTGACTTTTTTTTTTTTTAATGATTTAAGCTTGATAACGATGGTTAATGCCAGAACATTCAGTGTAAAAAAAACAAAAAAAAACAAAAAAAAACCTGGCAGCTCTCAAAACCAACCACACATCCTTTTCACATCCATTAGTCTGAGAGGTAATACATGATATGCTCAAAAACAGCATCTGTGATACGATTGCCTGAGGCTTGATGACAGACAGAACACAACGTGTGAACTTGTGTTGTTAAGAGACATGATGATTAGGTGGGCAACAGAAAATTAACCATCACCTGTAATTAAGCTTTAAATGATTCCCTAGGAAGACATTGCTTTCTGTCCTGCACAGTTATTACAGATACTGTTGTGATGCCACTGCACCAAACCCAGAGTGATGCCCTTTACGGCCAACGCAATCATCACTTCATGGCTGATCCCGCTTCACTTCAGGCCTTCAGGCACCTCCAGACCAGAGTGTGTGAGCAGCTCCCCGTCCCAAAGTCCAAACGCAGGGCAAAGAGGAACCTTGAACTGAGCCCTGAGGGTGTGAATGATCCTGGGCTTCTCGACGTCCACCAGCGCCAGGAGGCCTGCTTCATAGTCAAGCAGGATCCCTAAACGGTCCGGCTTGCCCACCAGCGTCACGGGAACTATTTTATTGCTGGTCATGACAAACCACTTCCGCTGAGCATAGCCAAACACCCAGGAGGAGCTGTTGGTGCCCACGCAATCTTCTCTGGACATCTGCGCCTCAGCCACGCCGAGACGAAATTCTTGAGACTTTTTCACTGTCACCTCCCAGTAGTGTCGTCCGCTGGTGATCTTCCCGTCGCCAAACACAACAGCCCAGTCTCGGAAGCGCTCTGGGTTGTCTTGCACGTGGCTTGGGTCCAGGCCCAGAATGCGGTAGATGACGCCTGTGTCTTTCTTGAAGAGGTCCAGACTGCTGTGGGCTGTTCGCTCATCAAGTCTAAACTGCAGATCTGCAGAGAAAAACAACAGATGACTTTTCAGTTGGATATCTAGTAATTAAATCCTAACTGGAGTTTGTGTTAACATTCATTATTTATAGGCTGGACTTGGAGCACATCAAATCTCTCATAAAACCAAATAAACCGGTGTTAATCAGAATGGTGGAAGAAAAGTTTGTACAGTTATTTTTTTCCAACCAACAACCATTGTTGCAGGTGGGCCTAAGCAAAGGATGTCGCTTCAGTGTTTACTCAAAATTGTTGTAGGGGAACATTTGCTAGGAGGTCAGCACTATGATTAAAATGGATTAGTAACTGCAAAAAATAAAAAATACTGCAAGATCCAAATCCTCTGTAATACTGAAACACAGGGGTGTCTAATCCTGGTCCTCGAGGGCCAAGTCCTGCATGTTTTAGATGTTTCCCTCTTCCAACACACCTGATTCAAATAATCAGGATCGTTATCAGGCTTCTGCAGAGCTTGATGATGAGCTGATCATTTGAATCAGGTGTGTTGGAAGAGGGAAACATCTAAAACATGCAGGACTGTGGCCCTCGAGGACCAGGATTGGACACTCCTGCTCTAACATTTTCAGTGTAGTAAGCTGCTGCAAAGAGCAGTTTTTGTTGTTTTCAGTTGCAAAGAAAATGGTAACATGCAGATAGCAAAAAAGAAGGACAAAGGCGCCTGAAATGAACCACCAATGGCAGGCTTATAGCCATATCCTACTTGGCTCCCTTATCAATGTTCAAAACAATCCTACTAAAACATCTATGATCCATTATGAGCGAGCAACACCACAACAGAGGAGCTAGTGAGTTCGCCTACTTCTTCCTTTCTGCATTCTGTGACTATAATTTGGTGTTTGCTGTGTTTTCTCCATTACAGCAGCTAACGGGGACACAACACCATTGACGGGACCGAAATGAAACACACTGCTACACTGAATAAAATATGTATTTTCTGGGTTTGAGAGCTGTTGGGAAATTTTAGTTAATGTAAATGCACATGTCAATTAAATATATAACCGTCTAGTCGTTTTTAAACATTTTAATGGGGAAATGTTACATTTTTATCTTTAGGTAATCCTAAAAACCTGATGATTCTCAGCTTTAGCAATAATGCGAGCGTTGTACTAAAACATTGCGGTGAAGACAGGGCTAAAATAAAAGGCAAAGCTCTCTATTTACCCATTGACCTACTTTCCAGCCTTCACCTATGGTCATGAGCTCTGTGTAATGACTACAAGAATTAGATCACAGACACAAGCGGTTTCTGGTTTTCCCTGTAGGGCAACTGGGTTCAGTCTTACAGAGACTGAGGAGCTCAGACATCCGGAGGGAGCTTGAACTAGTCACTCCTTCACATATAAAGGAGCCAGCTGAGGTGGTTTCTCCTAATTAGGATGCCTCCTGGGTGCCTTGCTTTGTAGGTTTTCTGGGCACTGGGAGGAGACTCTGGAATAGACCCAGAACTCACTGAAGGGATTACACATCTCATCTGGCCTGGGAACACTTTGGGATCCCCCAGGAGGAGCTGAGGAATGAGACATGTGGCATGTCCTGCTTAATTTGTTGCCTGTGACCTTACTCTGAATAAGCAGAAGAAGATGCACGTATTGATGAAGTTGTGAAGCTTCTAATTCCTTCCCCATTAATCTATTGTAAATTATCTGGCAATGCAGCACAGTTTGTCATAAATAAAGGATACGGGCCCCACTTTTTTTCTTGTGTGAAGGAAAGGAGCTTCTGTATGTTGGCACAAAAAGCGACTTCTCACTTCAATTCATAATCACTGCAGCACGTCATGTGACTGCAAAGTCATCTGAGCATCGCAGCCATATGCATGCATTATCGGACACGCTGCCACCTAGTGTGTTTCTATGCGATTTAGTTAAGGCTTTAAAGCCCCATTCAGCCAGCAGTGTCCACTAATAGTATGAACCTTATTTAACTCCAGTTTTCACAAAGATACATGCGCAATTTAGACTACACAGATAGCTATGAGTCTAAAGCTTCTCTGGCGTGTTTTTTGTTTGTTTTGCTTTAACGATAAATTGACGCTTCCTTCGTTATTAAGCCATTTACAGACCTCGTTGTCGCAACAAGTAAAAAATAAATAAAAATAAACATTTGTTTAAAAAAGGTAAAAGGCTACAACTATAGCAAACCCTAGTCATTAGCAGCCATGCTGTGAGGACACTGACCTCTGAGGCGTTCACACAGAAGCAAACATTTCTTTAACTGCACGGAGCGTCAACTCACTGTTTCCCGTCGATGTGGAGATGTAGCATCTTCTGTCCGGAAGACTGACAGCCCGCCTGGGTCTGGCTGACAGAGAGGACACGGTCCGTCCTGCCAGGCGACAGAGACGCGCTGCACTGACGGCCGCAGCCATGTTTTTTTTTTTCCCTGCTGCTGCTCACGTGTTTCACTTCCGCCTGTATTTATACGTAGCAGCGGCTCACAGCTCCGCCCCCTGCAGGCCTGGAGAGGAAGTGCTGCTGACAGGATGACCATCAGCACCACGGACAGCAGCCAGAGCTGACTCCAAATGTGCAGCACCGCATAGAAAGCGCACAAAATTCAAAGCATTATAATGTGAATATGATCAAATAAGTACTACAGATATTTAACATGGAAATTACATCAGTAAAAAAGTTTATGACATCCAAAAAGCATCTAGACATAGATAGGACGGTGCAGTTTTGAAAACACTGTACTCAAATATACTCAACAAAAATCAGTATTTATTGCTCGAGCACAAGGCCTCTCCACATGAAACAACCAAGTAGGGTAAACCAGGGAAAGATGCCCCCATAAGAAACAATGTCTATTTTCTTTAAAATGTAAACAATTTGTGCTTAAGTAAACAAATTTAAAAGACTAGACTACTGCTTTGTTATTATAAAAACACATTTTGACAAAAGGGCTTGACCTGAGGAAGGCTTTCCTTTCAACATGGAGTTTCTTTCCTCACAAGTCACTTTGAGCAATACAGACCTGTTGCCTATGAATAAGATTATTTATATTCTGAATTTTTGATGTTGCTCCAACTTTAACTGCAACATGAATGTTAGATAACACAAGAAATTAGTTTTGATTTTCCTTTTTAAACCGTTTGATTATTGTCAGTTAATTTACAACTGAGGGGTCTAAGACAACAGTCATAACTTTATTATTGTTGTTGATATTTAAATTCTTGACATAAAAATAATGCCAAACCAGCAGGGATGTTTAGCCTACAGTAGCAGAGAATTCAAGCTAAGGTCAGCTAGTTGGCCTTTTAGACAGATAATGGTTTTTTTTTATTTTTTATTTTTTTTTACAGCTGGTTAGCTTTTATGTTACAGTACTAGATGATGGTGTATACAATTTATCAAAAAATATAACATTAGAAAGGCTAGAGTTCTGAAAATCATTGATGTCCATGGGGGAGCTTCTTACCCCATGTCAGGGAGGATGTCTTCCCTCAAAAGACCTTCTCGTACACTTTCAGATAATACAAATAAAGTTTTTTTCTTATTATTTTTAGACTAATGCATAACCCTTTAACATAAATATCTACAGACTACTTAAAATTTCTCTCAGTGCCGCTAGGGGTTACATTTTGTTGATGAAATATGGCATTCTTTATTGATTTCTTCATTTATTTGCCCTAAAAGTAGTCAGATTCGTACATATTGGACAATAGAAAAAATAGCAAATGTAATATTACATGTAGCAATATGTTATTATATATACAACACGATACTGTATTAAAGAACATAAACTCCCCCCAACCTATCCCAGCCCTAATTCTCAAAAAATACATAAGCATCTGTTGGCAGATGCACAAGTTGTTTATGGTCGTTTATTTTGTTTATGGCCTTTATGGTTTATGGTTCTGCACTGTCAGATTTAAATGTAGTAGCTAAATACTTAAACTTCAAAGTCATATTTAGACGCTGAGGAAAAAGTAGCTGCTGGTCTCTGCAAAATAACTGAACCAGTTTGTTACTCTACTGCAGCAGTGGAGACAAATTCAGATCATTACTACATTATTACACATAAAAAATAAAGCACTTTAAATAAAAGACTTGGTCCACCACAACCCTATGAGAAAGACATTATTTAGTGTATATCATAATATCACACAGCGATGTGTGTAAAATCATAAACACGAGGGAAAAGGTTTGCTCGACTTTCATAAGTATATCAAATTCAATCCACATTACTGCATTACTTATAGCTGTTTGTGTGAGATTTGAAATAGGAACTGCCCTGGGGCACAGTGGAGAATATAGCGGGAGTCTTAATGTCACAGATGAGGATTTTTCTTTCCATGCTGGTGTATTTTGGGTGGGTAATGCATCTTTCTTGACGTGTAATAAATATTTTGTGATATTAACAAAGCTTGATTCAGCCGTGTTGCACAGCCAGATCCATTTTTCACACCAGTATCCAGCTGGGGACTAAATGTCATTGTTTATTCATGGGTCCAATCTAAACATGGCACATATCATTATTTTTCTTTGCTGTGCTGCAGATAATGACTTTGTTTTGAAAAGACACTGTTCACACACCCTCAGTCCTTCACACCTCTGGGAGAAGCTTTGTAAAGTCAATGTTGTTTTCGCTGAAAGGTCTTTCTTTCTTTCTCAGATTCAAGTTTGAGTTTTAGTGTAGTTTTTGATCGTGGAAAAACAGCCTGAATATAGTAAAAAATTAGAGCTGAAGCAAGTAACCGATTAACCAGTGAGCAAATCTACTGCTAAAATACAAAAGGTTCTTTGGTTCCTGCTTCTTAACCCCCTGAACCCAAAGCAGTTTCTTGGCATTTTTTGATCCTGCCACATCCAGGTGTATTTTTACTGCAACATAAAGATCTGCCCTTCTATGGAAACAGCACAACCATGGCTCGAAGTAGAGAAAACTCCAAAATGTCTTCTGGGCTGTATAGGACAGTCTTCTTGTTTGCTCTGTGGAAACACAGTTCAGCTGAAAAAGTCGGAATTTTTGTCACAGGAATGTTAGTCACAGATGAGCCACTAATGGCTTCTTAGCTGTTCCAAGGAACTCAGTCTTTTCATTTAAAAAAAATCTGGTTAGGAAGTTTATTTTGGGGGAATGTTTCAATGAGACGTGTAAAATAATGTGATTTAGATGAAATATCAAGTTTCCTTAAGGAACAGCACTTCACTGATGGACCACAAGAACAATCGCAAAATTCAGTGATAATGTCTGTTTTTATAGTTTTTGGCTCTCATGAATGGATTCATTTTGGTTATTTAATTATTATTTTTTTTTTTTTAAAGTAACATGCTTTTCAAACCCGACGGCAGGTTCCATGGTCATAGGGTTGAATATAAATATAATAGCAAACGGAATATGTTTTGGTTTTGGATTGTTAGTTAAACAACAACTTGAATATTAACTTCTCTAGGTAACGATTTGCCCAATTAAAGATTCTGAGGACAAATCCTGTCTTACCAATTATGTAGCACTGAGTGTTTGCCAAGCGAAAGACTACCCGTCTACAAAAAGATGCTATGAAGTTGCATTATGGGAAGTGTAGGATCCAGTGTTGAGAAGACTAAAAGTCTGACTTTGCCTTGTTTCAGATGCAAAACCTGAAAGTACAATATTAAATTGGTCAAGCACTCTTTGCATGTTTTTCTCACTGTTATCCTCTTTGTATTATTTGCACCAAACTGCACTAATCTTGACTTTGAGTTGATTTCCAGCTGTTATCATCATTGTTCTTTGGCTAAAGCTTGATTAATCCAGATTGTTTCAGTCTCGAGCTTTCTTTCTTCCTCATAAAGAAAATATTATGTTGCAAAGAGACGCTTTCTAAATATAGCAGGGATTTTTAAGCCGGAGTGGCCGAATATGTCAGCATTGCCTGCCACAAACTACACTACAGCCACAGCCCTTATAGGAGTCTTTCTCTTTGAGTCCTCAGCAGCACATTCTGTTTCCATCAACATCAGCTTTGTCCTTTTCTGGTGCTTCTTTGAAGAGACTAAAGAACTGCAGACATCTTCTATCTTCACCTTGGAGTAGAGGAGTAATATAACCTCAGACTTGGTGTTAGAATTGTCCATGTAAAAAATTACGTGACAAAAATGTCTGTTTTCTCCTCTAGGTGCCCTTGTATAAATTGTTTCCTTTGAATTTGAATTAATTACAGAGGGTTACTAAGGTCGTCTGTGATGTGCGTTTGTTCTGTTTAAATCTGCACGAACTGACACTGACATACCATCACCTTTTAAGTTGATACACCGATTATGGAGGTGAAAATCATGAATAACTTTGCAGATTAAAATCACTTTGTTCGGTTCACTTCAAAGATTTATAGTCACTGATTATGCAGTTCGTTCGCATTTTTTGTTCCTACGCATAGCATCCCTTTGCAGTTCAAAGGCACTTCAGTACATATAAGGAATCACTGTTCACAGGCGGCTGCATTCAGCTCTGACGCCCATTCAAGCACAAGGTCAGTGTAATCAGATTTGATTGTTTCTGTTTAACGAGGATAATGTTGTGTGAAAAGCTGCTGGCAAATTGCTTATTTACACATCCAGCCGTTAAGAAGCAACATTGTCATTCATTTGGAGTTGTGTTTCTTGCTACCTGGCAAATTTATTCCCTTTTAGTTCTGGCTTCCGTCTCTAAGAAAAAAAAAATGCTCCAATGCAGTACCTATAAAAAGTATTCACCGCCCTTGGAAGTTTTCCCCTTTTATTGCTTTTCAAAATTGAATCATGGTCAATTTAATTTAGGTTTTTGGACAAGAATTTGCAAAAAAGATTTTTTCATGTAAAAGTGAAAACAGATTTCTACAAAGTAATGTCTACTAATAAAAAAAAAACAGAAAATGTAAAATTAGTGATTGCATCACCCCCTGTGAAGTGACTCACCGAACTCAACACAGCTGCATCCAGATGGTCGGTTCACATCGGACTACAGTTAATCCATCATTGGGCAATGAAAGGAATATGGTTCACCAGAAATCATGTGTTAGACTCTGAACTCAACTAGAAGAAGATTCTTTGGTTCTTATGTAACTAAGCACTACATCAGGTGGACACTAAAAACTGCCTATCATGACAAACTCACAAGCACGGTGGTGGCAGCATCATGATGTGAGGATGCCTCTCAACAGCAGGTCCTGAAAGTCTTATAAAGGTAGAGGGTAAAATTAATGCAACAAAGTTTACCGAAATCCTTGAGGACCAACTGATGCAGTCTGCAACTGTAACTTGAAAATATTTTTTTTTTTTTTTTTACAGTCACACAATGATCTAAGACATACAGTCAAAGCTACACAGAAATGGTTTAAAGACAACAAGGCTAATGTTCTGGTTTGGCTGAGTTAGAGTGCTGACCCCAATCCAACTGAGAATTTGTGGCAGGGCTTGAAAAGGGC